GTTAACTTTATGACTCCTTAGTTTATACATCAGGAATATATATTAATCGGATCCGACAAGTAGTAGGATGTGTGCTTTCCGCTTCATTTCCTGTTCCTTGTTTGGTTGTGGGCTTAGAGCGGATTCACCCAGCCTACTATCTATTCGATCTTGGCTATATATATGTTCCGTATACACTAAGTAATCATAAGGGGTACCAGGTATGGGTCAGGTCATAGGACACTAATTCAATGCACCGTTTTCTAGTACAAAACATACTTTTCAAATAGAACATTGGGTATACAAAACTAGAAACATACCAGTAAGGGTTTAATCCATTTTATTAAACCAATATAACTTAAAGGACCTTAGGTGGTTAATTCTATAATACCTTAGTTTATACATCAGGGTTATGTATAATTAATACCCGATAGATAGTTGAATGTGTGCTTTCCGCTTCATTCCCTGTTCCTTGTTTGGTTGTGGGCTTAGGGCAGATTCACACAATTAACTATCTGTTCGATATTAGATTATATATAGCTAGTATAAACTAAGTGATTATAGAAGGAACCACTGTGGTTACCATTTTTACTAAAAGAAATAAGGGTTTTCTTAAAGAATGTTTTCATCAAATATAAAGGAACTATTACAGTTAACTCTGTGAGTACGAAGTGAATACATCAGGGTTATATATAACGAAGATCTAAAAACCAATGGGATGTGTGCCTTCCGCCTCATTTCTTGTTCTTTGTTTGGTTGTGGGCTTAGGGCAGATACACACAACCGATTGTTTGTTTACTCTGGGTTTTATATAACTTGTATCTATTTAGTACTCATAGAAAGGATTGTAGAGTCATTTTTACTTATCTTTCATCAAAGCAGGAAATATAGGATTTTCTGGAGGAACATGCGAACTTTTCTAAAAGAACTTACAACTTACTACAACTTTCTTACAACTTACTTACATCACTAAAATCTTATGAACTCACCAGCTTAAATGCTGATCTACTCTTTCAAAATAACTTGTATTCTCAGGAGACAAGTAGACATGTACGCGGACTGGGATTCAGAAGATGGAGCAGTATAGCTTCATCTCTTATTTTGTTATTTACTTTGTAGTCTATGTTATGTGAACCACATACTTTGTAAACACTTTCTTTCTAATGAAATGGTTGTTTATTACTTTGATTACTATGATGCATGTCTTGTGATACTAAACATGACGTCCTCCACCCCCGAACGTTTTCGCCGTTCCTGTTTTGGGGTGTGACATTCTTGATCTTATTTATTGGTATAGTCCATCCATCATTGCTAACCATTTGTGACCACCAAGATTTTTTCATTTGATAATCAATTGTTTAAAGTTATGGAAAGTTAAGATAATCTGTATTATTTACCAATCAGTAAAAAACTTAGACCCTATACAATTAGAAAATGAATACCATAATCGTTGTCTATCAAATTACTAAAACTGAGTATTGTAGCTTGAAGAGGAAAATGGGTATTTGGTGGTATATGAAAAGGAAATGATGTAAAAGTTTTCATGTATAATTAATACAACAATTGTTACATAGCATCAAAAAAGTATATGCATTTTTTGGTTGTGTGGTCTTCAATAAACCAAAAGACTATATATGGCTTTGGAAAAGTTCTTTGAACTAAGAAAATAAAACAAACGTATGTTCGTTTGGATTGAAGATTTCATGAAAATTGAAGATTTTGAAACTCTTTTGGTTCAAGCATTTTATCAAACAACTAATATGCATCCCCAAAAAATATATATTACTGTTAAAATGGAAGCCACTTAAACCCACAAGAATCAATTTCATTAAATAAATGACGTAATAACAATGTAAAACTTATAACAGGAACTTGGTTAATTGCAAAAATAATAACATAATAACAATGTAAAACTTATAATAGGAACTTGGTTAATTGCAAAAATAATAACCCATCACAATACCATAAGCCAATTTCAAGAAAAGTCACTTTCAAGAATTAGTTATGATGTTTAATTTTCAGGCAAGAGATAAAAGGATACATGAATACATCATGCAAGATCCAACATTTTTATTAGGAAAATCCATACAAAATAATAAAAGAAAGTGTTCCTTGAGAAGAAAGAAAGCATATGTGGGAGTAATTAACCTCAATTTCAAGTTGTTGGGGAAGAACACGATGCATGAAATGTATAGACAAAGAAGATGTAAGACGGAGAAGATAAGTAGCTTGAAATATATAACAGTATGCTCAACAATTACTTGTTTTGATGTTATTTTCATTAACGTGTGATAGAACTCTAGTAATTTTGTGGGAAACGTTACCAGGTGAGGGCGTTTTAGGTAGATTAAACATGAATTTACCATTGAACGTTAACAACACCCTACTCTTCACTTAATTTTATAAGAGATTTTATTAAGATTAAGTAAAAAAGAAACACGTACATATATCTGAATCTATTAATTTTTTTTATAAATTAAGTGCATTACATCAAAAAGAAACAACCCCTTACTCCATTCCTTCCTTCCTGTACACCACACCCACAAATCTTCCTTTTTCTTCTTGAAAACAGGCAAAATGTTTATTCTTGGTTCCTACAAACGCCATCATCTGAAAAATGAAGAACATAAAAGTGATTAAATCAATTAAATCGAAATTTTATACCTATCATCAACTATCAAATTGTAGGAAATCAGACGGAGGCCAAATGAGAGACGAAAGCAGGTAATTGAGTATGTGATTTGAATCGATTACACAAAGGTAAAACCCTAAAACTAAAAACTCAATTGAGTTTGTTACCTGTGCTAAGAGTCGATTTTTTGCTATATCTTCAAATCGACTTACAATAGAAGGAACAAGCACTGGAATAGCATAATAACAGCAGTCCAAGCACAAATCAAAGGGTTTGCCATTTGTGTTCTTTCTCGAAGCTATAGTTTTAGAGAGAAAATTAAAGACGAGGAACTTAAATGGTTGTGTAGCCATTTAAATAGGAAAATCCGTAACTCCAAATCATTTTCTTGATTTTATGCCATTATAGAGTATAAGATTTATGGTAACTCTTTTAAAATTATTTTAAATCTGGATGCAAGATAATATGATAGTATTTTCTTTAGGCGGGAAAAGAGACATGTGGTGATGTCAGGAAAATGATCCAATGATGGAAACCTATTAATGAAATACAATCAAGGGCTCTGATTTCTATATTTGGGAGTTAAGAGTTCTCTTTTAATAATTATTAAGAACGTTTAAACACTTAATTTGCATTATTTACCAATCAGTAAAAAACTTAGACCCTATATAATTAGAAAATGAATACCATAATCGTTGTCTATCAAATTACTAAAATTGAGTATTGTAGCTTGAAGAGGCAAATGAGTATTTGGTGGTATATGAAAAGGAAATGATGTAAAAGTTTTCATGTATAATTAATACAACAATTGTTACATAGCATCAAAAAAGTATATGTAGGTTTTGGTTGTGTGGTCTTCAATAAACCAAAAGACTATATATGGCTTTGGAAAAGTTCTTTGAACAAAAAAAATAAAACAAACATATGTTCGTTTGGATTGAAGATTTCATGAAAATTAAAGATTTTGAAACTCTTTTGGTTCAGGCATTTTATCAAACAACTAATATGCATCCCCAAAAAATATATATTACTGTTAAAATGGAAGCCACCTAAACCCACAAGAATCAATTTCATTTTGTGTGAAATTGCATGTTAACTAAAATATTTTTAGCATTAAAGATGGTTTGTGAATCATTTTGAGATTTTCCTTTTTTATGGATTTTAGTATCCGTTAATTAAGACCCGACTATTCAAATACATATAAATAATTAGGAAATACATTTTAATCTATATCGAGATTTGGCTTTCTAAAAAATAGACCGAATCGTAATAATAATATAATTTTAAAACGTTTAAACATTTAATCTAAAATTACAACAATCGCCAATAAAATTATACTATATTTTAAGTAGTTCAAACTATTAAACCGGATGTATGTACAAATATCTAATGTATAAAATAGCAATTGATCGCATCTCCATATAAGAATTTCTTTTCATTTGACCTCGTGATAATTTTAAATTTAAAAATTAAAATAAGTTAGTTCATGAACTTTTTAGATAGGATTGAGTTTTAGTGGAAACATAATAATTTTTGTAAAACAAAATTATCGTCGTCGCCGCTTTGTGATCTTAAGGCTTGAGGTGCGTAATTCCAAACAGAAGTAGTGTTCAATGATTGACCTTTCATTTGTATAGCTTAGCAATTTTTTTGCTTATGTTTATAATAAAGTAAACGATTTAACAACGATCATCATATACTAGTAAATTTGTGACAAATTAATGCATTTTTAGTTAGTTTTGTTTTTGTTAGGCCTTTTTTTTTCTCTTTCGTTGAAGACCTAAAATATGTTTTCAACATCATTTTTATGACCAATATGGAGCTAGTGAAACAAACCATAATCAAGATATTGATAAACTAATTACATAATTGTGAACTCACATATTTTCAACTAAATGAATGGGCAAATGACTTAGGATCTTCAAACCTAATCATGTTTAAATAATTTTCTAATGAATATAATAATTAAATACGAGAAAAATACAAATAGCTAGGATGATCATAAACCTATTGTAAACTAAAATGAGTCTTCGCAAAAGAAAAGAAAGAGGTCAAAATGCATAGATATGTTCCCTTTAAAATCTTAATGCACATAATTAAAGAGAGAACGTCCTCAGAATATGAACACAGGCACCCACATCGAATCGATCAGATCTCTTACTAACCTCCATGTTCCTAAACAGTATCCAAAAGTCAAATCCCATGTGACACCCACCATTTTTTTCATACAACTTCATCATCATTTCTTGAATTCTTCAACTATTTACACACACAAATCTTCAAGTAGTACTCTCATTGTTAGAGGAAGCTCATAATTTCCATACCCATACCCATACCCTTATACCCATCACTATTATAATCATAAGAAATGATCCGCGTATGTATGTAATTAATCTGAAGAACAAACCCAGGGTTCAATAAACCCTTGATCACTTTTCATACCAGCACCATGATGATCCGCCGCTTTTTCATTGCTGTAGTTAGCGTCGCCATTCCAGTTTCCCGACGCCATCTGGTCGCTGTTTCTTGCTTTGGTGGTTGAGGATGTGGGTGCAGTTCCTGTGGTTGAAACAAGGTCTGGTAGAGTGGTGTGGAGTCCATCAATCTGGGTTTGCCCGATCACACCAAACCGATTTGAAGATACATCGTTTTGTGTGGTTTTCTGGTTCAGATATGAAGACTGGTTTAGAGAATTAGAAGGAAAGGAGATTGTGTTTTGCATGGTGTTGAGCAGATTAGATGAGTCCAACAATGAAGAGATCGAAGATGAAGAAGACTGGAGTTTTTGTGGGAATGGGTGCAAAAGGTAAGGAGGTAGTTGAGGTTGGTTATCAAAGTTGTTGGTGTTGGATCTCATCATGGGGGAGGATCTACCAAAAAGATCAAAACTTGTCGACAACCTCGGGAACATCGGCGACGATGATGTAAAGGGTGGTGCAGGGATGCCGGTGAATTCTTGAACCATGGCTCTAAAATTACTAGTGTCTGTAGTCAACACAGTAGTCGGTGCCCTCCGCGACGCTCTTGATCGTTTCTTTGGGTTGCGAGCCGGGGGAGGAGGGATTGAAGTCGTTATCGGTTCAGTGTTTGACGTCGTAACCGGAGAGAATGGTACAGTATGGGCGGCGGTCTGTGACGATGAAGGGAAGAACTGGTGGTCGGAGAAAGAAGGTAGGGTTTTGGACCAGATGGCAGAGTCAAGGTTATGAGGTTGATGTTGTGGGGACAGCGTAAACATCAAGGGGTTGTTGATCTGATTCTGATCAAACATATAGTGGTTGAAAGGTGGTGATGGTGGGTGAGGTTGGTGATGATGGGTGATGATGAAACCAGAATCATTAACGGCGGCGCGTGAATCGCACTCTTCTTCAGCACCACTTGATGACTGTAAGCTCCCACTATTTCCTGAATCCATTTTATATCTCTAATTCAACGTTAGACAGCCAAACGAACACAGAGTATGAATGAAATCTTCCGGCGAATCAACTGAAGTGGAGATGAAGTGTTTTTACAAATATCAAAAAGACGTCAACTTGATCGAAAGGCGTGATCTTGCAGAACCAAATTCGATGGTTGTGGTGATGATGGTTATGTAGAAGAAGGAGAAAAAGATAGGGTTTCCATAAGAACAGAAAGCATCAAATAGAGAGAGAGAGACAGAGAAGGCTGCTCAGTCAGCTCACGTTTCCACTAGAAAGAAGAGAGTGGGGACATGGGTATAGCATAGTACGCAGCATATATGATATTGAGAGAGAGAAAGAGAAAGAGAGAGATTTGGTTGAAACAGAAGGTGTGAAACAAAGGAAAAAGGATAAGACGTGGTTCAATCCGAGTTGTTTCTTTAAACTTTTTGTAAAAAATTTAGTTCTTGTACGTTGTAAAAAATACAACATTGGACTTCAAAAATAGCATCGATTTTTCTATTAAACAATTTAAATATTGTTAAATTATAAAGCGTATATATTCAAAATAAAATAATAGGACATTCCCTATAAAATAATAATATCTTTTACACTAATTAAATTGATATATACATTAAGGCTATAAAGTGTCCTACGGGTCGGTAATGCTTATGTATAAACTACTACCGATGGTGAACACCACCCCAATGGTATTGTTATCGGTGGTAATATACCGATGGTGAATTTCCATCGCTATCTCTGTGTTCTTCTGTCATTTAAACTCACTCTCTCTTCCTCCCTCTTTATCGACAATCATCCTAAACACCACCCCTAACATCTATTTAAAGTGGCAAAATGGCAAAAATATCATCATCAACCTATGTGAAGTGTGGTGTCTTTATTTATTATGAATCATAGTAAAAAATATATATCTATTAAATACAAAGGTTTTAAATAACATCATGCATCACTTGAAGGTAATGTCAAGTCTCAAGTTTTTATGAGTTATAGTGAGTCATGTCGTTTATAAGACGTGACTTAAGACGACAATTTTGTGTAATATATATATATATATATATATATATATATATATATATATATATATATATATAACCTAAGACGATATTTTATTAAAGTGTAGCGTCAAGTATAAACCTTGGAGTTATGACAATCTTTTTAAAATCCTGTCAAATATATATCATTTAATAACAATTACCATCTGTTTGCATTTAAATAAATTAAAAATTATTTTTGATTTAGTATTATTACAATTTAAAGTTATTATTGATTAATTTAGCAATTACTTATGTAATATATATATATATATATATATATATATATATATATATATATATATATATATATATATATATATATTTCGAGCATGTTAATTGATATATAAAACATTGTTTATAAGTAACGTAATAGAATTTTTTATTAATTAATTAAAAAACATTTATTTAAGAAAATTAATTATAATAAAATAGTTTTTTGATATTTTATTTAATTTGATTTGTTCTTCTGTATTATACAATATTTAAACCTTTTTAACTAGTTTGAAATAGTATTTGAATATGTGTTTGAAGTTTATTTTATTTTTTGATTTACGTTTTGGATTTAACATGATAATTAAGTTAACAAATAAGTCTAAAAACTATTATTTAGAAAAAAAATTATAATAAAAAAAAGTTATAGTTTTTATTTAATTTGATTTGTTGTTCTATACTTACAATATTCAAACATTTTTAACTATTTTGAAAAATAGTATGTTTTTTAAGTTTATTTTAAATTTTGATTTATGTTTTAGATTTAACATAATATTTAAATTAGCAAATAAGTGTATTATAATAATCAATTTAAAAGTTTACCTATAATATGATAATATTTTGCATTTAATAACATATTTAAAATTAATAGATTAATTGTATTCAACTAAAAATTAAAAAGTAATGAATGTTTCAAATGTATATGGTGATAGGAAAAATACTTCATTCATAGTATAGTATGATGATTGTTTATGAAAAAAAAAGTCGTTCAGTTCCAAACCGGATGTATTTTATTACATCTTTTGGTTTCAAGGATGGTTTAACTCATGTTTAGTTTTCCAGTGTGATGACCTTTATTTCAAATACTCCATCGGACGCTGAAAATACCTTAATTATGTTATATATCTCATATATAACTTAAGAGGATTTTGCTAATTTGTCAAAATTTAGAAGTGTGTTTCTAGGTCACATAGTGTGCCTAGTGGAGCTCTATTTGAGAACAAGGGCCTCTAGGAAGCCTTTGTTTTCTGGTGAATTATTCGATTGGGAGAGGCCTTTCGGTTGGTTGCAGTTACGTGTTGTATTTTGGTCGTTTTATGGCATATTGTGATCTTCTGGTGGTCGTTTTTTGTTGTTCACTTGTCGTCCACTTTATTGTTCCTTCAAACTACATTCTACCTGGTTGGGTTGTTAATGTTCCTGATTATTAATTTAGTATCCTAATTGTTGTTTATTATCTGTATAAATAAGCCATGTTGTCTATCAATTATATATATAATTAGTGGAATTATGGTTGTGCTTGAGATAGATTTACAATATCATTTGATTAGTGACATGAATACTGATATATAATAATGCATGGAAGTTCAAAGGATAGGTTGTCCGTTTATGTAAGCGACATGTTTACTTGAAGTCGCATGAACTGAACAATATTGATATGGTATTAATTGGCGAGACGATATCAAACAACCATTAGCTATGCTTTCTCTATTTTGTTTGCATTGATATAGTTTTTTATTCTCCGTTTATTTGTATGATAATTTCAGGGAACCCATATCTCTACTACCATTAAGAAGGATCTAATTCAGAAGTTTGAGGGATTATTGAAGGAGGGAAATGATTGTTCTTTTTAGAATTTCATTGTTAATAATAAGCTTGCTCATTAAAAAATGGCAGATCATAGGTTTAAAATAAATTTTGCCAAAAACATGTATGTTAAGGTCATGGCATCTGGATTCCCACATAGTTTGGGTTCTTTTGATTTTTGGAAAGTTTGGAGACATTATTTTCAGAATATGTTGGGGAGGAGTGTGGAATTGGTAAGTTTGCATTGTTATCAAAGACATACTGGCTCTTATCCTTTAGTGACAGGGTATACTAATTTTGTGTTGAAAGTGAAGGATGGTCTGTCAGTGTCATTTGAATTCTAATATCTAAGGTAAGGCACAATCAGGTAGACTATTGAATGTAATGATGTCAGAATAAATCTTAAGGCGCATGCTAATACTAATAGTTGTTTGTTGTAAAGTAAGAATTTTATTCGTTATACTCTGTGGGCTGAGCATGTGGAGGAATTTTCATCTAGGATTGGTAATATTGTTCCTTGTGAACGTGTGTTGGTGATCATTCAACTTATTAGAATTCGACAATGGAAAGGTAAGTTTTGTATATCTAACATCCAATAATTTTGTTGAAAGAACGAAGTTTGAATTTTCAAGTTTGTATAAGTTGGTTATGGTATGTATATTCATGTTTGTTAGAAGTCGTATTGTGGTGATTAACTGTTTTTGGGAGAAGGGTAATTGCCAACTCAACGGCCAAAGAGATTATGGACTTCAGAAAATATTAATGAATGTTTTGGTCAAAAAACAAGTAATTTAGTAACCAAATTCGTAAGTGTGGTGTGATGTTTTGTATAAAGATTTTGATAAATGAAATAATAAACTGTTGAAGATGTTAAAAAGTGTCAAAGATCTTGGATGTGCCCAAGATCCTAGGAATAAGATAGTAATGTTAAGGTTTTTTATGAAGAAAATAAGTTACATAATGTTTATTTAACCTAAGATGGAACTATGTGTATATTTAGAAATTAGGACAAAAATAGTTTTGAAGTGACAAATATGTAGAAAATGTTGAAAAAACAATACGACGTTCAAAAAGGTCAAGATATTGTAAAGTATCCCAAGATAAATGTTGTAGGCCAAAGATGTAATCAGATATTAATATAATAAATTGAGTAAAAACAATGTAAACATAAATGTAAGAACAAGAACACAATAATATGCGAGGAAAGCCCTTGATCACTCAAGATCTCTGGCATAAAACCTCAGGACGTGACAAAAGTCACACTACTTTAGAGCTTCGATTAAATAAAAATGAGTTACAAGTGCTAGTTGATCGTGTTGTAAGTGTAATTGAGCTCAAGAATAATCAGAGAGAAGGTGAAAGTAGAAGTGAGAACGTGAATATGAAGGATGTGCTAGTCTTTATATACAAGGTGAATATAACAAACTGTCATAGAATCTAGGGATATTCCTTGAAAATAGATTGACTTGGTTTTAGTAAGGACTTCAACGTCTCTTTACTTTGCCCATGTGCCTATTGACTTGATCTATGTATTTTTTTTATTAAGTCTTCACCCTTGTATTGAACAATACACGAAATACAAAGGTAGTCTTAAAATGTTAGCTAATTCAATATCTTTAGCTACCCAGGATGTTAGCATAAGTTCAAGATGTTGGGCATAATAAAGTAAATGTCAAAAGTTCACCAACAACAATTGCCCCCAGAAAGTTGTATCTTGAGTATTTTGAAAGATGGAGTTTTCTCAAGTTCAGACTTACTGTTGGGACGGTAATGCTTTAAATAATATTTTCTTGACATATATGATTTTGAAAAAGTATAAGTATTTTTGAGAAAACACTATGCTTTCATAAGCTAGCATTAACATCTTTGATATGATAGAGTTTGAAATATCTTAGGAAAAAATCTTAAATTTTTAAGAAAACTTAAAAAATTCAAATTTTGAAATAACTTTATGAAAAAATTTTACTTTTGAAATAACTTTGGAAAATAAGAAAAATTGACAAAAATTAGAAGAATGTTATTTTTCAGAAAAGCTTATGCAAATTCATTATCATATTGTAGAAGAGTTTTTAAAAAGATCTTGATTAGAAAAATGTTGAAGATCATAGACCAAATTTGAAGAATAATCTTGAAATATACAATCATTAAATCTTAGAAAAAAA